CAACCCCAACTTCGTTGGATTACAACGAATTTACTGTGATGCGACAATACAGCTGCCTTTTCTCATTTGAACGGCTCATTGAATATAAGTTGATGGTATGTAACAGTGCATGCTTTTTAAAACATTAAGAAGGAAACTTCCTTACTTGAAGAATTTGCACCATTCAGTCCATAAGAAACAGTAGTAACCGTAGAGTCTGGGTCATGTGCAGTCACCTATAAATGGAATGCATACATGCGAGTAACTTTTCATAAAATATTTGTCCCAATCCAGTTGCAATGAACTGTTATCATATGAGACTAACAATATTGCGTAAATCAATATCTCGAAGATGAAGAATTATCATACTTCATGTTTAAGTACCGAAATGCATGTAATTCAATATTACATACAAAATCGTTAAATCTTATGATCAAAAGATATGATCAAAAATGATCAAAAGTAGTGCTCATGCTGATGATGGGGCATAACTTGGCGCGAACCTTCAGAATCTGAGTACCAATATGAGCCGCCTCACTGACGTGTACCTCATAGAAAGGCATCTCAAAACGAGGCGGATTGTCATTGATATCATCAATGGTCACCACAACAGTACACTCTGAGTGCACTCCATCTCGAGTAACATCGATTGCCATCACGGTAAGATTATATGTGGCACACTGCTCGCGATCTAGAGGCCTATGCACACTAACGGCACCTATAAACAGAATTCAGTTGAACAGAATTCAGATTCGACAAGAGAATCATTGTAATGAATGTACATTAGAATTAAACGCTCCTATTCTCTTGTAAGCCAGTGGAAATCTTAAAAAAAGTATTCGAGAGATCCTCACATAATGAGAACAGAAAGTCTGGATTAGATGAGGTTGAGATCATGTATTTATTTCCAGGAAAGATCATTCGATGAGAACTCATATCGCTGTAATCGGTAAACTAAGCCAAATGTATATTCATTATTGTAAAGCGAAATGCCATCATTGATAAATCAATCCATCAAGCTTATATGTATGTACCGAACTAAATTATTGGTTCACGAATAGCGATGCAATTGAAACTCAGCGGAAGCGAACAAAAATGAATACCCGAGTTAAAGTCGACACGAAAACGTTTTGATGGATCACCACTCTTCAGAATATAACCAATTTGTTTGTTCATATTACTAATTGCTTTGACAGTATGAAGGGTCGATCCAATAGGTGCATTTTCATTGATGTGACATCGATAAATACGATGCGTGAAGATTGGCATCGCACGATCAACCAACTCAATCGACACTGTTGTGTTCGTCGATAGTGGTGGATTACCTTCAATCCAAAAAATATTAGAGATCATTCGGAGT